ATTTATCTGTATGAGACGTGCGTGTGTCTGTATCTTATTAAATCACGATATACCGTACACGTCGTACTGATTACGACGTTGCCTTTCTTCTATTGAATTTGTAAGTAAATCTAGATGTTCTTTACACGTCGCACCAAGTGCGATTTTAGCCCGTCCCCTTCCTCAGGTCGCGATGCACGTAATGTGTCATACTTTGCGGAGTTTACTATAAGCGACCGCATAGATTGCCTGCTGTTACCGCACGTCATTTGCTTGTGTGATTCCATTACAATACGTATACATAAGGTAAAAACCAAAAAAAGTTTTATGTTTGAAAGACAAAATGTTACTCAGAAGAGGGACGCAATCTTTGAAGCTCTCCCTTAATAACAGCAAGTCAGCCCATTATATTAAATCAAATCCTGTACAAATAAGTGATTTGCGCTCAGCCACTGATAACTCCACTCTTCGGACCCGCGCCTATCTTAATAATTATGGGATAAATGCTGCATCGCACTTGGTACAATGTGTAGGGAGCGTATAGCGTCGACAGGCTGCATCACACTTAGCATGAAGTGTAATTTTCAAAGAAGTACTCACTGAAAGAAAAGGTGACATGCTATACAGCACTTAGTGCAGAATTTTAAGGTATACCTGTCGTCAATTACATACACAGGAGGCGAGGGACTAAATAGCACTAAGTGTGGTGTTTAAGGAACATCTAGCGCTATTTGCGAACGTAAAGACAGATATCTAAGTAAAATTTAGAAGTTCTACATTCACCTTGCGCACACCCACTAAAATTTACCTTTCGGGCGCAATAATAAGTTAGAGGAGCAAGCTCTGTAGCTCGACCATAAAAATACTTGCAACACAGTTCGAGAACTGAACTAAGATGCAAAAACTACACTACAGCATTCACTGATAGATAAATATGTTTGAACTACTTTTCATGTTAACCCAGACCGATGTGCTTGGGAAACGCATTTACCTTTTGCTTATTGGCGGCCAAAATTTTCTTCGTTAATGCATATTTTACCTTAAACCAAATTTAAGCCATTTTTACATGCGTGCATTACTATAGTGACCTAGATAAATGTGACTTCGAATGTGGATGAATACTTATGAAGAGAGCACAGGCTACCGTTTTTCTAAACACGACATAACTGTTTCTCCTAGCATTATTTACAGACACTGTCACAGACACCATCAACCACAGACAGACCAATGGTAAAAATCTCAAAGATCGACAAATAACTTATGCACAATCACCCATAGATTTAACCCTTCGGGCTATCAAATATCTGAAAAAGTAATGTTGGGACGCAGTAGTAATACAATGCTACTTGTTAGTATAGCTCCGTGATACTAACAAGAAAGCCAAATCACGACAGAATAACGCAATGAGTGGTGAGGAGGTAAGTATTATACATATTTTTCCATGCATATGGTTAGAAGAAGACTAGATGATAACGGTTTACAGGAAATTGACTATATCACATTTAATTTTACTTTTTGCAATTACTTAAGTACCCTTACTTTGTGTATCATCGTTGTTTGCACGCACGTGTAGATGAAGTTCCTGAGCAGCTGCCCACTCTGTGTTCAGTGTACGCATCTTTTGCGGTGATAATACAAGCGTTTGGTACCCCGTAGCACGTGGTTAGCACTTGATATTCCGTCCAACGACGATGAACACGTTATAATTTTAAAATAGGGGTGGCTTTTTTACGCAAAAAAGCTACTCCAATTAATGCTAAATCAAATAAGAAGCTGACAAGCGAATGATTTCAACGACAAATCAAGAATCCGTGGCGCTGTGTTGTCCTCTCTGGAAACAGAAAAATATCACGCTTTATTTCCAGATCTTAACGACAAATCAAGAATCCGTGGAGCTGTGTTGTACTCTCTGGAAACAGAAGAACATCACGCTTTATTTCCAGGTCCACCGGGCTGAGCTCGACTTAAAGCGCGAGAACGCATATTACCTTCTTAAAAAGGGTGCTGTACAGTTCAAGCTCCTAAGACTGGAATAGGTTTCTGCTTTCGGGGCTACGCACACGCGTCGACAAAAACCTTGACCAAAGACATCTCCAAGTCGTTAATGCTGACAAAGAATCCATGTTAAGATGGTTTATCGAGCTAGAAGATGCCATTTGGCCTCGGCATATCCGCAAATATGGAAATACAGGTCGCGTTTACTCATTCGAAATGGCAGCCTTGCTTAAATTTTGGCATAAAGTCTCAAAATTGCAAGACCTATTTGTTTTTGGCCCATTGTAGATCTTCAAGATCCGCCTTAAACCTACATTTTAGTTGCTGTGGACTTATTTTAGAGCTCGACATGAGAATTAAATCTTAAAAGGATGGTAAGCTCGATGTTTATTTTCATATAGCACAGGCGGCACCTTACGAGTGGAATTACAGCCAATTCACGATAAGAACACATAGCGATTACGCTGTTCTTGCAATGGCTCACGAATGTTTTTGTCAAATCGTTCCTCCTTCGACTGAAGTTTGACACCTTAAAAGATGCGATCAGGATTGCAAAATTAAAGGACCCCAGCTCAGAACAAGCTTACGCGTATTCTACAGGTTAAGGTTCGATAATGCAATAATATGAAGCCCTTTTATCAGTGTAACTCTATACGCTAATGATGAGATTACTCGTATTTCTGACTTACAAATGATAGATATGAAATGGATGTAGAGTGACTGGACACAATGCAATTGAATGCAGTGCCCTGGATGCAGTACCACGTACCACAGGAAGCAACATCCGTGAAGCCTGCAAGAAAAGTCCATGGCGAAGTGACTTTTTTTCTGTATTAGCGGACAGGCAAAACCGGTCGGTTTCAGTAGGTGCAAAACACCTAGTGATTCAGCAACATCAAGATTTTCGCAGACCTCTTGACGAGAGTTGCTCTTAACACAGTATTACTGTGTTTCATTACATCTATCAATGGTTTACCGATTAACTTATTAGAGCGAAGTGGCAAAGTATGTGCCACGTTGAGCCCTGATCGATCGTGGGGCCTCGGGCAATTGTATTCGATGCTTATATGTTTATGGTTGTACGATCACATTTAAGTAAACCTAAGATTTTTCTTACGATATTGACGGTAAGCCAAGCAACAGGCGCATCGTAACGATTTTGAAGCGTGTTGTAATAATTTCTAATAGACTATGATAGATCCAACGTAATGATGACTTCATCAAATTGGGCTTGGAGGACGATTTGATATCATCTTTGGTTTACCGTGGCTTCGGAGGCACGAACGACAAGTCAGTTGGTAGCGTCGAGTAGTCTGTATTCGTGTCTCTTTCTCACCAGATTATTATCAGGTGAACGGCTTGGAGCGCAGTCAAGCATGTGGTGTCATATAAGTGAGTGCAAAAGTCTCACGTGTGGCTCATTCGTATTCAGTGGCGTTTACGAGCATGGTCATCCTCCTTTCTTTTTTCAATTCCGTCTGTTTTGGAAATTAGCGGCATTAACGACCAGATTAAATTTTACCGAAGCATTGGCACTCTCGTAGATAAAACACACTACGTACATTCCATATCTTGGTCACTAGGCACACAAAATTGGCTTTAATGTTCAAAAATGATTTTTTACTATAAAACGAATTACTTATTGCGAGCCCGAAGGGTAAAGCTATCAGTGGTTGTGCGCAAGCTGAAAGACGAACCTTTAAGAACGTTCGTATCTCTCTCTGTATCTGTGTGCTAATAAGAATGGGCGTACCTTCATATTGTACTAATTGCGAAGTTTACCGCCCCCTCTTCATAGGACAAATTCAATCATAAAAGTCACTATTTTAGCAGGTCGCCAGGTGCAATCGATCAAGTAGTACAAGTCACACATACCCATTGTTACGTGCACGCTAAAAGGTCGTGAAGGGCTAAATTAGATAAATAAGAATATACACGATCCCTTAGAGCATGGAATGCGCTGCACATTTGACACAATTAATTTAATATATTTACAAAAAAAAGCTTCCCCTATTTATAAAAATCTCCTTCCCATTCTAACCACCAGGATTTGAATGGGGAGGATATTTTTATCTGAGAATACGCCAGAGTCTGCAAAGTTGCCAATGAGTGAGTGAAGTCGTCCAAACAGGCGCCGAGCCCAGCTTTTCCGAGCTGTATGCACCTCCTCATCTGCGACATTGCTACATTAGTTTTTTTAAAAACAGGCGTCGGTAAAACAATTGACTTTGGCTTATTTTTATTATCGACTTCGGTTAATGCATAAAATAATTACTTAAACAAGTGATCTAATGCCCTGATGATCGTTAAATGCATTGTCGTAAGCGTGTATTAAAACTATTATTCCGATAATTGTTAAGCATAATTTTCATTTAAACACCCATGTATTCACCTCTCTTCATTTTTTCTGAGCGAATATAAGAGCTAGGCGCGCTGCAAAAACAGAACCTCAGAGACAAGTTCCCCTGATTAATAACAATCTCGGTATGTATTAGGTACTACTACCACTTAATTAATAATAGACATTGCAAGTTCTTATTTTCTTTCCGGATGTTATATACCTTTTCTCGCACCTTGTTTACCAACCGCCGCACATCGCCAACATGAAACAGAAGGTTTATGTCAGGATAATCATTTTCGGAACAGTCACGGTTTGTAAAATTATCATGAATTTGAACATGTGCCAATTCGTTATCTATTTACTATATACAATGTATCAATCGCATCTCGACTTGAGATTGAAACTGAAGCTGAAATTACAGCTAGACATGCATGAAACAATCAAGGTAGGTCAATGATTAATTGATTTGCATTAATTTCAATTGTATATTGAAGCCTTATACCATATTTTTAGCATCCTCCGCTCGCCGCCAGATTAATATAAAAGCCGAAATCTAAGCTAGGCGTGCTCTGGATATCCGAGATATGTAAGTGCTTAATAATATGAAAACATGTATAGCCTTTATAAAAGAATGTATTGATGCATTGTCAAGCAATCATCGCACGCCGCAATATTAATACGAAAGATGAAACCTAAGCCTGTCGTGTTCGAGATAGTCAAGGTACATGTGTACTATTATTATTTGCAAACGAAAAAAATGAAGGGGCTGTCTAGGCGTACACCCCCTAGTAATTGCGCGCACCCCCCCCTCTGTGTGTGTAATTGTCTAATCGTTCTATGTTCCCTCTCGTTTTTTATAAAACGAGGTTTATCTATCGCTCGCGCTGACCAGCAACCGAGAGTTAGCTCGCGGAAGAAGCCACAAGGGACCATCACTCTCTTTTCCACTGTGTTGAAGCCACAGCATGAACAGCGAGGACACGGTTACGCGCGCATCCAAGCGCAAGCACGCCACCTCGGGCGTCCGCAAGCTACTACGCTGGGACGCCGCGCTCTGGCAGCTGTTCGAGCGCACGCTGCCGTACACAACGCACCTCAAGAGCGCGCCGCTTTTACACCTGCGCGCCCCGCTCTCGTCTATGTACGTGAGATGCTGTCCCGTCTGCAGCGTGGCCCGTGCTTACGCTCTCGTGTGTCTCTCTTTTTATGTGCTGTTGTTTATTAGCCAGCAGATCCATCATCTAGTCGAAAGATTCACGCGCCGTCGGTGGTGATGGAGCAACCGATTGTCGGCACGCGCTTGGGGTATGTATTAAATCTAAGCTCGTAATTGACGCGACAGGCAGCGACACGTGTCTGCACGATGTCAGTAGTTGCGGTTGTGGTTGTGCTGTTGGTGTGATGGTGAGGGAATAAGAGGTAGTTACTAAGCAATTGTGTGGGCTGGTAGGTATTAGGACGATTTAGATGTTCAGCATGTCAATCTGAAGGTTTACGGATGCGAATGTAGGATCTCTTTTTTATAAGGTTTGGCATGGTAGGCTGTGGGCGTCACGTGTAAATGGTGTTACTGAATGGTTATATTAGATGAGGAAATGGGTTCGGAGGTGCACGACAACAGGTTGGCACAAGCATTATGCAAGACGCTATTCGGCCACTTAAACGGCGATGGAAAAGACATGGATATGGCTGTTTTTTAGCGGATGGCTAAAACTTTGTGGGGTTTCTCGTAGTGCGGGGAGTGATGACAGTGTTGGCGTTACATGGAGATACTTATAGGGTAAAATTGTGGTGCTAAAAGCTTTTTGGTCGAACATTGCGGCCTGAATCTCGACGCCGCGATCAGAGAGTTTGCAGTCTCGACTTCGCCTGCTATCTACATGAGGCACCACCTGACGGTGCGTGGGTATTTAAGCTATTTGGGAGGGCCGGCTGATGTGATACTAAATTGTGCTGTTTTTGTCTTTTCTATCGGAACATACTCTGGATGCGCGAGAGCGTACTAACCACAGTCATTGAGGTTGTAACGGACCACGGTGTCATTTACACCCCTTTAGACGCTCCCCGCACTACGAGAAACCCCACAAAGTTTTAGCCATCCGCTAAAAAACAGCCATATCCATGTCTTTTCCATCGCCGTTTAAGTGGCCGAATAGCGTCTTGCATAATGCTTGTGCCAACCTGTTGTCGTGCACCTCCGAACCCATTTCCTCATCTAATATAACCATTCAGTAACACCATTTACACGTGACGCCCACAGCCTACCATGCCAAACCTTATAAAAAAGAGATCCTACATTCGCATCCGTAAACCTTCAGATTGACATGCTGAACATCTAAATCGTCCTAATACCTACCAGCCCACACAATTGCTTAGTAACTACCTCTTATTCCCTCACCATCACACCAACAGCACAACCACAACCGCAACTACTGACATCGTGCAGACACGTGTCGCTGCCTGTCGCGTCAATTACGAGCTTAGATTTAATACATACCCCAAGCGCGTGCCGACAATCGGTTGCTCCATCACCACCGACGGCGCGTGAATCTTTCGACTAGATGATGGATCTGCTGGCTAATAAACAACAGCACATAAAAAGAGAGACACACGAGAGCGTAAGCACGGGCCACGCTGCAGACGGGACAGCATCTCACGTACATAGACGAGAGCGGGGCGCGCAGCCAAATTTTTAGTTCGTTGCTAGCGAAGGCAGCGGCATCCCTGGTGAAAAAGGAAGCATTTCAGAACAGCGACTGGTTCAGTACATTGAATATATATCAAGTTGATGGGGTTTAGCGCTGCCCAACGTCCTTTTTTGGCCACGAAATGGGAACAGAGCTAAGCACTTGTAAGGGGAATTTTACGAAAGGCGCGTATTCAGGTCTCAGGCCGTGTATTGCATACGAGCCAGCATGAAGTGTGGTGTATTTAAATTGGTACGCCCTTTCACAACTTCACGCACACACACTGCACGCGACGCGACGAAATTCAAGTCTCAAGGTACATATCTAAAAGTGATTGCAACCTAAAAGGGAAAGCATCTTCGTGTTCCGAATGTAAAACGCACAAATAAAATCTACTTAATGCATATGTATTATATACTCTGCTAGCTGTTTGCTATCTCAAGAGAGGACAATTGCGCTTGTCATGTCCTACCTCTCGACAATCTGGATTTCCGCATCTTCGCGGAGCTCGCGCTCTAGCTTCCAATAAATCAAAAGCAGAAGGATTATGCCTTGTGCTACTCCCCGCCACCCCACCCACAAGTCTGCCTCTAGTCCGCACGACCACAGGATTGTGCACTAGTGTGAGCGGCTGTTGTAAGAGCTTTACAATTTGTTTCTCCAAAAGACGTTGCTGGTGTGGGCGGGAAACTATTGTGTTGAGATTGCAGCTGTGTCAATGCATCTGCAAAATCTGTCATCGCATCTGCAGAAGTATTACTGTCATTGCACTCAGGCTCTTAAATTTTTACAAGCCACCGGTTCCTATGGAAATAGTTGCCCCCATCAATAAATGTTGCCAATTCAACGGTTGAGTTCGTGGAAGCAAGGATAACCCATCGTACTTCGAAAGATGCTGAAGCAGGTGAAGTCGCCAGCCAGGTGTTTAGCTTTTTGAAACTGTTCATACACCTTGACAAGCATAGTCTGATATCTTCCGCTTGGCATCCTTCCAAATGTTATGAGAGAAGGCGAGCATGGAATGCTTTTTGTTGTCGATAATCTTTTGACGGATGTGATGTTCTTGATAGTCGATCGAGAGGTAGATCTTCTCGTACACATCTTTGAGATCCCCTGAAGGGACGCTGATCCATTCTTATATCGAAGATTCTTTGCCTTCAGCGCGAGATGTAGCCAAGTGACCAAGATGCAAGACCAGCTTGGTGGATGCGGTGACACATTTTTCGCTGAGTACGATCCATGTGCTCCTCACGTAAACCACGGTCTGTCCGTACTCGCAATAGAAGATTTGCAGATCTTTCCAGTTAGCGATGAACGTCCTTACATCTATCGAAGCAACCAGTAGGTGCCAGTCTGCCAGATATCGTTCCCACCCTTCATTAGTTCGAAAAATGTTACTTCAGGTTGGCGACAATGTTCTTTTTGATGTGCCATATGCCGAGAGGATCATAATCATCTCCGAGAATGTTTTGAATTGCTGACATTAGGGCCAGCTCTCGATCTGTAACCACCATTCCAGGCAAGCGGTTCAAGAAAAACACCCCTTTTACGCGTATGAAAGCCCAAACATAGTCCTCTTCTGTCTCTCCGCTCTTAAAGCAAAAGCATATGGAAATTGTAGCATTGGTGCTGGTCATGCCGACAACGTGGAGGAGTGCAAGCTTGAACCTAAAGGACAAATGTTGTGTTAGAGACTTGTATAATGCAGACTGCAAGGTGTGAAGCTCATCACCTGCTGGTCCTGTACGTAGAGTTCATTAATACAACGTCGGGAAACTTTCTGGCTTGATCAACAGACTTGGCGTAGCAAAGAAGAGGTGTGTGTTTCGACCCTCATCGTCTTTTGCATAATCATGCATGATCTCTTTTTCCTGCAGCTCGTCTAGCAGGGCCTCCAGAGGTGTACGGCCGCTCAAATCTTTTTGTCAAAGCCGGGCTTTAGCATTTGAGATGTCTTTATTGATGAGGTTTATTTTCGGATCTTCTTGTCGTAAGGTCGTAAGGATAACGTTGGGGTCTGAGCCGGCCTTTGACATCTGTTGTATGATCTGTCGCGCTTGATCTGTAACTTTACGTGCGCTGGGAAAGACTGACATATCGGCTGTTGCAATATGGTTGTGAGAACCCTCCTCTACCTTGACCCACCACATCTATCCCTCTGCGGTCAATTCTCTTTTGATAGTGACGCTCCAGGGGCATTAAATGCATCTGCTGCTGGTATTTCTCTTCCGATTTCCTTCAGTGAGCCATTCGCGACGGTTCCTGAACTCTCGGCCGTGCGATCAATGGAGCCAAACCTTACATGTGTCACCGCTTTTGGAGGATTTTGAGCGAGTCCGTCCCCCCACAGCGTAGCCTTGGTCAAGTACAAACCGCTCTACTGCTAACTGAGCATCATCAAGAGAAGGATAAGTATGCTCGGGAGGTAGTGCTAGCATTGCCGGAAGAGCAAAAAACAGAGAGATAATAGGATAGAATGAAGGATAGCTCGCATTTAGAGGGAGAAAAAAGTTCGACATCACGAAGGGGGGGGGGAGCGCGTAATTTTTAGGGGGTGTAAGCCTAGGCGGTCCCAAAATTTATTGCATATGTTTATACACTATGTGACTATACCTGACTTGACTTCAATTTTAAGTCTGTGCTGCCTGTCGTATTACAGAGTTGGAAAATCAGCGAAAACTGACAAGTCTTCGATAAAGCAAGGCGAGAGGATCGCTACACAAAAACTATGCATCCACACCTGTTCTATGTATAGTGTTGAAGAGAAAATACCGTGAAGAGTTTGAAACGGCTAAAATTCGCCCTCCTAATGAGCAAGTTTGGCGTCGGGAAGCAATGCGATATTCCCATTTAGACATGCGTAAGTAAAACCAAGGTCACTGTTTAAATTGTTATGAACTGTGACCTACGACTGAAGTAACCTACACTTTTTCGGATATGTTTGCAGACGCTGCTATAAAGTTACGCTATATTGCGATTTCTGTAGGTCACGACTTTATTACTGGCTTAAAACTTGATATTTTCATAAGTCCTGTAGGAAAATTGCTTTTTATTAAAAGACATGATACCTGACGATTCAATGATACCTGCTCGCATAAAGCTCTCTTAACAACGCCTACCATACATAGATAAATGCTTTTGGCACTCTTTCTCCTTGTGATATTTAATTTCGGGTATTACAATGATCAGAAGATCATCTTAATATATAGCCAGCTTTCGACAAGAATTTGATATGTTTATTGATAAAGTGCATAGTCTAGCTGACAAGATCCCCATAATTGTTGTGACATGTAATGGCCAGAACAGCACGTTGTCGAGTGTAAGGTCAATAGATCACGGGTCCAAGTGGTTAAGATATTTTAAGTACAGCACCATCCAGAATTTGTGAGAAGAATATTATCTTCAATAAGAGAATTGCAGTAAGCTACCCGAAAATGACATGTCTCAAGAACCTTTTGATAATGATGATATCGTGAAAGCTGATGAAGGTCCTAACTCTATCGATATTTTCGCTGAAGATGAAGCGTCTTATCGCTATTTAGTTCAGGATACTGGCAATGAACCTCTGAAAGATTAACAGTATATATCGTGCATTTCCTGGCCTGATGCTGAGCCTCAATCAACAAACGAGTTCAAGCCCGTATTTATAGCCATAATTACTTTTGTAAAATCATTACCTCTTGGATTCGTACACCACTCCAAATTCGATCGGCACTTTGCTGCATCCAAGACTTATGCAACCGCTTAACTCCTCCGTGCTGCTGAATCAA